CTTGAGTCATTGCTGGTTGCAATTTTATTTCGGTTTCATTTTTTAGTGTTTTTTAGCTTTTTTTTATTATAAGGTCTTGAACAGTTGGGCTGCTCTTGCTAACGCGTGCAACACATCACCAAGTGAGCCGTCGCCCGCGTACGTTTCACAATCCTCATCGTGCCTATGGACGATGAGTATTGGTAAAATGTCACCTCTTCCGAGATGAGTGCTACAGAGCGGAGGGCATCAGAGAGCATCCTTCGCTACCCATGTGCGGTTGCGTGGCGTTTTAGTTACGTGCCATTGGCTGCTTCCACAGTCCGCCGGCTAGCCTGCGAGCGCGCGTGCAAGTCGGGGGACTACTCGGCCTGCGGTATCGACCAAGATTCAGTCATAACAAGTGGCAAGCGCCGCCCTCGGTCGGCGGACTACGAAGGCATCCATTTATAACAAGTGGCAAGCGCCGCCCTCGGTCGGCGGACTACGAAGGCATCCATTTGAAAGCGCCGCCCCCGGTAGGCGGGCTACGAAGGCATCCATTTAAGTGGCAAGCGCCGTCCCCGGTCGGCGGACTACGAAGGTAACCATTTCGACCAAGATTCAGTTATAACAAGTGGAAAGCGCCGCCCCCGGTAGGCGGGCTACGAAGGCATCCATTTATTTTTCTGGCACTGGAGCGGACTTAGTTTGTGCGCCATTTTCAAGAATGTACCACCTGGTCCCTAGCTGCCTCAATACCCCTCCCGTGTCCTTGCTCAAAGCCCCTTTTTCATGTGTCGTATATTGCGGCAGGTGAAAATTAGGGCATTGGCTGCTTTCATAGTCCACTGACCGGTCCGCGAGCGCGCGCTCCGTCCGGGGGACTACTCGGCCTGCAGTATCGATCAACATTCAGTATGTAAACAAGGGCAAGCGCCGCCCAAGGCCGGCACGTGCGCGCTCGCGGGCCTGCCGGCGGACTATGAAAGACAGTCCGTGGCGCGCTTGTGGTCATCTAACATAATAACCGCCGAACTACGATTTACGACCCACCTCAGTACTACGGTGTGGGTGGTTTGTCGCTTTAGGACCTTCGTTAATTACTTGACAGTTTCGGTGGACTTTGAACCTGTCTGTTGTCAAACTCCGTCAGTACCCTTTGCCACACTACTCTTAATCTTGAGGAAGCTCTAAGCACACTTCAGCATCTCACGCTCCTCCATTTATGGCCACCTCTCTGGTTATCAAGCGCATGTTTTTGAAGCACTCTTAGGTCAAATCGCTACTGATAAGTTAGTCTTACTGTTGTTTCAGAAACCTCTAGTGATGGTAATAATGCCTTGCCGCGTTCAGTTAGCTTGAATTAAGACATTTTAGGCCAATCAGGAGTCTGTTTGCCAGTTCATGTCGTTCTCAAGCAGTGAGCTCAATCATCTCATTTGGAAATATCTTCATGAGACAGGTCCTTGCTCACTTTTAATCGTGTTTCATGTAATTCGCCTCGTTCGTATTGTCGCATGTTCTATACATTTTGTAGGGATGGTACATTCTGCTTTCGTCTTCGGTGAAGAATCACAAGCGGCCAACTCTAACTTGGTTGACTCCGAAGTACCAACAGGAGCACTTGTTAGCATAGTGCAGGTCACACTCATGTTGTACTCGTTGCTTGCTTCCTTCTCAAGTTGTTTGAGTAATTCAGCGACATTAGAAACAATCCACTAAGCTAAACGTAATTAGAGTTCGAGTTTTGGGTGATTCGGAGGTTGTTACAATGGCTAGCTGTAGGTGGTGATGGGTTGAGGGCGGAGACGTATGATGATATTGGCGAGGGTCGCACGTACAAATGGCCTGTATGTGTGATTCACTTGAAGGGAAATCCGTTCGGCTGGGTGATCCGTCGTGCGGCAGTGCCGTGAAACTGCTCCTGCGAACATGCCTGCTACCGTGGGGATTTGGACACAACGTATTCAATCCTGAATGATCACATTATTTCGTTTTCGCCTACAGCCTCTCACCGAGACATCCTACTCGTTATTTCAGAAACTTTTTGTGCATGATTAACGTATACACCCTGATACTCCTGTTTTCTCTAGGCTTTGACAAAGTTTCACTCTCGACTCAGTTTTTGATTTGCCCGTCCAAGTTTTCATAAGCAATGCCCAGTCCTTCGCTGAGCTAGCGAGCGCGCCTAGGCTAGTATTACAGACAGTTACCTAGCTCCTTCCTCTCAACCTGTCTCTTCCGGAAATTAAATTGATTTGGTCACAGGTTTCCGTGAAATTGTAATCACTTACGTTCATTTAGAAGAGACAGTGGAGGAGCAATGTAAGGAGTTAGGAAAGGGAGGAGATGGAGAAGGTAAGTGTAGGGTGAACTCGGCTGCGAATCTTGCGTGTGATTTCCGTGGTGGATAGGGCACGCCGGTGGGTCAAAGAACGGACGGAATCTGGGGATTCGAAATGAAACTTCTCCTCTCACTCCGTTTTGCCACGATAGAGGCATCATCTCTACTCCCTGGTTCACTAGTTCCTGTTTCCCTCTTTTCGAATTTGATTTATCGAGTGAACTGAATAAATAGTCATGATTTCACAAAAGGTCCTCCTTTCCCGAACCCTCTCAGCATATGCGGATTGAACAATCCCTCAACACCAGNACTCCGTTTTGCCACGATAGAGGCATCATCTCTACTCCCTGGTTCACTAGTTCCTGTTTCCCTCTTTTCGAATTTGATTTATCTGATCGAGTGAACTGAATAAATAGTCATAATTTCACAAAAGGTCCTCCTTTCCCGAACCCTCTCAGCATATGCGGATTGAACAATCCCTCAACACCAGCTATTTATATGGCTGTTACTCGATCTACTCCCTGCCTTCTCGCTACAGCTCGGTCCTAGCGAAGAGGGGCTGGGCTGCCATTTCTGATCGCAGAATCGTTTCAACTCCTTTTGATAGTCAAAAAAACATCAGCATAACAAAATTTAAAACTATTTACATTCTCTGAGTATTTTTCACCAAAAAATTTTATTCAGAAAGGTCTGTATTATATCGAAGCTGAGACGAAGGCTTCAAATGAAGTCATGAACAATAGAGGAAAAGGCCAAGACACTGGATCGATGTCACTCATAGATGGAGGTATGTTGCAGCAGTGCATATGAGTATGGTAAGGTAAGGGTAGCTTGATGAGAGGAGTAAATAAATACATGAAAGAATACGTCTTCGTGTCGTGCAATCCATCGCACAAATGCGCTGCTCGGCACGCATCACTCCATGCAGGTACTTCCGTGAAGTAGGATTTACTTTTTAAGATCCTACTCCCCCAAGACACTCCCGCAGGTGTGACATTTTCGCGCTGAAGGTTATTGAGCAACAAGCTAGTGTTATTCAACATCATTTTCATTATTAGGATTAGACTTAGCTCTCAAAAGCGACATTTAAAATGGTGTTGAATTACCTCCATTGTTGTTGCAACCTGCACAGAAATGTTTCCCATTCCTTTGATTTTTCCTATTGAATTTCCGCACGTCTTCTCAGGAATTCCGGAGAACATTGTTTTTATGAAATTTTTCGTTTATTCAAAGGCACGGTTCACGATAAAAATGGTCATTAAGTTCTTTCCCCAGGAATACTCAGTGGCTCCCAAAGGGTGATAGAAAGGACTCTCTCGAGCCCAAAAACTCGACGGGCAGGGCATAGTGGGAGCACTGTTCCCGGCTCGCTTGTCCTCCCCGCCCTACGATCGATGTCACGTCAAATGACTGTCGTGGCGATACAGATTGCAATTATTGGTTTAGGGACCCACACACAATCAGCGGATCGTCGAGTGAAGGAGACGTTTTTCTCCCATCCTTTTGTCCTCTGTTATTGTTTTTGCTGCCGCGATCCCTTCTTTAATTCCCTCCCCAAAGAGGCTGAAAAACATCTATTTTTGCTGTTACCAGGGTTTTTTGTTTACTTATGCTTGTAAGTGAATGAATTTTGCTTACCGTTGTCAGTTATTTGCACCAGGGCCCACACGTACGCAATGACGCACTGCCCAAGTTCATCCAAACGCCTCACTCTCCTTCATTCTTCTGGTCTCATTCTCGTCCAATCCCCTTTTTAACGATTTTTCGAAGCCTTTTTTCACTTTATAAACACCGATTCACGCAGTTCCTTCGCCTTCATCGCACTCTTTTCAATCTTGTCTTCCATTTTTTGTCTCCCAATCTAGATTACCCAAAATTATCGTGAACTGTGCCTTTAACTCGAGTTGTCTTCAAGCTCTATTTCTAGTATGATTTTTTCTCATTATACCAGTATTTGTATAATCAACTCTGAAAATGTTCCTAATCCTGACCCATTATCTGTGGGAAGTAATATCGATGGTAGCATCCAATCGACAGCTAATCTGCCACATTTTTTAATCTCAGCTAAAAGTAGGAGTCAATGAAAAGGGCTGAAGGGCAGCCGGTTGGTAGCTGACTGTCCGTCGAGCTGTCCGTCTTGTCTAGTAGAGGCTCACGGAACACTCTGGCTCCCAGCACCGATGGTGACTCTACGGGCATGATAGGGTAGAGTGCATTGTTGAGATACAAGGCATGAATGGTTCTGGAGTATTTTGGTCTACTTTTCCTCTTTTTCGGCCCACCTCATTTTCTGACACTGTTCTAGCTGCTCACCTATACCGTCTAACAAATGACTCGACAATGCTGTCTGTGAATCCGTGTTCACAAGGAGCTGCTAACGATGCTGAAACGGCAGAAGCAGCAGCTGAAGCGCCATCTGAATACAGTTCTTCACCATCGATAAGCTTTTCCAATTTATTTTTTTTTATTTTCGCTTATCTTCTAAGATGTACATGCTTGAGGTGCAGAGTAGATTGAGTGTCTCGAGAGAAACACTAGAAAAATCAGTAAAGGTGCTCCCTCAGTTTCAGGTGATCGTGATTGATGACGAGCTTTCTCCACCTCATCTGGATCAGCATTCGGCAACTTTGTGAGTTCTTGTTTTTGAGTTTTTTTTATAAATGACTAAATTAGTGAACCAGAGTATCTGCTTATAGTAGTCTGCAAATCATGCAATTGACATAGTATGCTTCGTAACACTAACTCGCACATTGTACATGATAATATGCTTGAATGTTTGACAATAGTAAGGCCCCACTGGTATTTTTTAAATGTGCTCAACCCTATTCCAGTATTGAGAGCAATGGGTGTGCTGCCCGAATTCACAAGGCAAGGGACAGTAGTTTTGGGAGATTGGATCACCGTAAACTTCCAGTTAATCTTGCAGTGAAGTTTAAATCCTCCCCCTCACGGAACGAACACGAGTGGGCGCGGCACCATGGCAAGCCGCTCCCAATCGCGTTCGGGGACAAGCTCTCACCTCTTCCTTGGCCATTCTGCATACATTCTACATATACATAATGGATACATTCTTGCCATCTCTTTGAAGACGGCTCGAGTTTTGCTTCTTTCTCAGTTGGAGTTATCACGCGAAATAAAAGGGAAGCAAAACTCTAGCCACGTCCTCAAAGAAATGACAATCACATAAATGTGCATAAAATTTACTAAATAAGTCTTCTTGTTGATTTCTGATATGGTTGGGATTTCAGTGGCGTCATTGATAAGGAGAACGTTGGAGCTATCGGATGGTCGTTTCCTCACTCTGTTTCTCGCAGCGGACCACTAGAGAGTTTGCCTTCCGGTAACAACTCATCTAACCGCTCGGCGTTGGAAAAAGTCAAAAGAAAAAAATGAGCTCGGGAGATTTGTTATGTTACACCCCTCCACCGAGTAGTTGGAATTGTTCATTGTATCTATCGCCTGAATGCATGTATTTGGTATACAATAAGACTGAAGTTCCTTTACCCTTGAAAGAATTCATCCATGTTGTGTGGTAGTTAATTTTGGGATATGGAATAAATGGAAGCGTTACTTGAAGGTCGATGCGCGCGAATCTCTACCGAAACCGCAACGACCACAAAATGCCTTGGATAAGAAAGGCTACTCTGTTTAATGTAGGAAGCTGACCATGCGACCAATTAAGATGAAAAGAGAAGAGATGTTGAATTAAATGTGGCTCATTATGAAGTAGGAAAATTGTTTAGATAAATGTTACCGTTCCTCAGTTCTTTTTTTGTAGAAGAGTGTATCCCATTTATACGGAAGAATCAAGCCCGAGATAGAAATCTCTCGAAAAAGTCCAACAAGAGCCTAGAGATGGCTGATCATCTGCGCTTTTTGTATTTATTTGTAACATAGTGCTGAAATCCTCTACGGAGTTTTCTCACTCCACAAAGTTTTTTTCAAAGCAACGGCAAAAAAAAAAAACAACAACTGGGTTTTTTTCTGTAAGATCATCAGCCCACCAAACCCAGTAAACTCAAGGAAAACCCCTTTACGATTGCATGTTTGAAATGGATTCGAGTACCAAGAAGGATCACAACTGAGCGATTTCCGGGGTCTCTCTTGGGTTCTCCCTGAAAAGATAGATTTGAATAAAACATTGCTGACGGTTTTTGTAAGAACTCACATTACAAAGGCAGTCGCAACGTACGCTCCATGTTTCTGAGCCATGGCGTTTAACTGCCCGATCTCTTCACGAATAATTCGTGCCGCTTCATGCAGGACGTGATCCATGCCGATAGCCAGTGCATACTTGCGGAATCGATTCACTTCCTAATGAATTATTTCAAACCGATTGAGGAACCATTTCGTTGCATGCTTACTTTTTCGTTCAGCGGGGTACATTACATAGGCAAAATATTACAATGAACAATTACTGTCGCTACGGCACATTCAATACCCAAAGGGTGGGGAGCTTGTGATCGCACAGTGCAGTTTGTGTTGCAAAACATATTCAAACTTGCTTGCCATCCAGACCCGGCCTCGAAAGGTCTTCAAAATTCGTTAAGCTGATGCGTCCACATGCGTGCATGTGGTGGAAGTCTGCACCAAACATGTCTGCCTCAGACGTCCCCATCTTGTCTTTGCTAGCTTTCCGTACTATTGAGCAGCATAAAGAACTTCAAAAAAATAGAAACTTTTAAAAAGTTCTCCGCTTTTCTAGCTATAGCTTGTACTTATTGATGAGATCTAGAGTTAGGGACACAAGAGCTTTTGTGATCGAGGATCGACCTATCACAGAAGAATTGTGAAAAGTTCAAATGATATTAGTTATCAATGAACAAAATTTATTGAACCTTCAACATAAATAAGTTTTGTGGTTAATTAATGTGAACATATCTGAAAGAAATAACGACAAAATTCGCAGAGAAATATCAGGTAAGCAAAAATTGATGCATAACTCGGTATAGCACAGCAACAAAGTGAACTCACTTCAAGTAAGCAACTTACAGATCATAAAGCGATAGAGGATACAGTAATGTCAGATGAGCAAAAATTATCTATGTACACAAAATGAACATAGAGATGTGAAAAAAATGCGAAGCGAAAGCACCTACCAGTTCGAGAGACCTGGCTTATTTAGGGTCATAAAATAAATCTGGCAAGAACCACCACCTTTTGCAGACGAGAAGAATACCTTATCATTACGCTCACACAGGAACTTTAGTTTCTGAGCCTTTTTGTGCATGAAAACACCATCCAAGTGGCCCGTATCGACAGACCGAATCTCTATAGCCTTGTTCCCCCAACCCATTATTTGTCCAGTTGATATATAAGCGACGCTACTGGGCAACTCGCCCCATTGCAACACCACATTCTTTGACATTTTTCCATACGTATTTACATACACACCTTCATTGTCATAACAGAGGAGCAATTGCATGCCGTTGCTATTGGGCAGAACAACAATACAATGCGGAACCATATTCTGTTGCGAATTCGAAGGAGTGTAGACATCGTATATGGCAGCAGAATCCAAGTCAATAGCATGGAACCCTTCGTGAGATCCGTAAAGAACTTTCAGACGTGCGTTCTCTTCCACAGTCAAATCAACAATGAGTGGTAAGTGGGGTAAAGATCCAAAGGACTTGAAACTCATGAACTTATGATATGGTTTGGGTGCCCATGCATATATTTCTATGCTACTCTCCATGCCCACCACAAGAAACTTGATGCGTTCATAACGGACGATTTTGAAATGAATAGCTCCCTGGAGATCGCCGACATTGACCCAGCCATTTCGCTTTTCCGTAGGTGCACCAGAAACGGATCCCTCGGTCCTCAAAATTTTTTGCTTGAGCCAACTTAGGTAGTAGACTCTGATCCTTCGCTTCCGTCCAGAAATAGTGATGAGTATATTCTGTCCCTCGAGCACAGCCATTTGTTCGAATCGTCTTCGGTTTATTAATTGGTAGACTTTTCCTTGACCGCTGCGATCCAACAGCATGAGTCCTCCATCCGTTCCTATGAGAAGATTCACACCCCATAGGGATGCACACAAAACTTCTCCACTGAATTTTTTCTTGTACTTCCTGATTTCAGGAGCATCTGGTTCCAGGTTAGACCCATTTTGAGAGTTTGGATTAACGTTCACCTGAACCTGGCTAGCACTCTGTCCTCTACCGGGACGATTCACAGTTCCTGTTCCCAGTGCTCCAGTTCCAAAGAAGCCAACAAACGATTTTTCTCGATCTCTCGAGGAAAGCGGTTGTTGTTGAAGAGAGATCCTCGAGCCATCCGTACAGGCAGTGGCACTTCCAGACAGCTCCACTAATGAGTCGTCACAAAATCTCTGACCATCTACTTTGTTCACTTCTCGCGGTTCTGGCAGCAAATCCGGTAACGCCAATGGACCATTTCCTTGGAAGGAAGAAGTAACATCTGGCAGCAGTGATTTCTTTCCCGAAGGCTGACGTGCAGAAGTTCGAAATTCATGGTCATCTGCTCCGCTATCAGACGAGCTATCTCCTAATTCAAAATCGGAGGAAGCCCTTGCGGGCGCATGGTCAGGCAAACTCGACGCCTTCACCATGTTTGGTCGAGACAAATCACGACTGTTTCTCTTTGCATGCAAAACACTGTCCTCTGCACAAGAACCTTTTGAAGGCGAACTCTCGGTGGGTGTCGGAGGAAGAGGTTTGTTCGGACCACGCAATGTTCCTTCAATAGAAGTATCATCACAGCTGGTCACGTTAGCAATGGACGCGTCACGAGGTGGTGGAGCAGGAGGAGGAGGTGATGCAGCACCCCTACTACTCGCAGAAAGGCCTATTTGTGACAGCTCGCAAGCGAGCAGATCCAAGTCCTCGGGTCTCGACTGTGGTTGGTGCAACAGTGGCTTGCTATGTTTTTGTACCGGACCAACTGTGATATTAGCTGCAACACGAGCCACTGGCGCTGCACTTCTGTAGCCTCCTGCGCATTCCTTCGTGACACTTCTATCCTTCTCTTTACGTTCTCCACGCTCCGACTGCCTTCGGCCGTAATTAGCAAGGTCTGCCAGGTGAGGTGCAGCAGGATGTGACTGCTGCGGAGACCTCTGATGATGACTAGAGGGCCGCTGACGTCTTTCAGAATCAATTCGAATATTACCAGCCACAGGGCGAGGTATAGCGGCTTGCGCACGCATTTTCACCTGTTCCTCGCGACTGCGTCCATCCACACAATATCTGTACGCATTATGAATAGGGTTAGCAGTTGTTGGTCGGTCATGATTTGGCGCTCTTCTTTTTGGATGTTGGGCGTCAGCATGTTCAAATGCGCCTCGACTGGCTTCTTGGATTCGTTGAAAGCCCTTCCGCAAAGTGTTGTCTGCCGGTATCATGGATGCTGCTTCGTCTCGACGCGTGAGGGGCTTCAAGGAGTTCGGTTCGTCGTCATCACTTCCCGAATATTCGTATTCGGTTGCATCTTTTTTGGTGATGCGGCGATGTCTGTCAATGTGGTCCTTGATAGCTATTCGTATACTTCGTTCAGGCGGCTGGTCTCTAATAAAAGGATGGCGAAGAAGCTGATCCGTATACGGTCGTTGTTTATAATCCTTTATCAGAACAGTCTCAATGAATGACTCGAATTTCTTTGACCATTTCTTTGTGCGTTTCAACCTCGGCGGAGGATTACGAGGAATAAGGAAAAGCGCACGCATAGGGTGCATATCACAAAGAGGTGGATGACCTTCTGCCATCTCCAGGGAAGTTATCCCAAGGGACCAAAGATCAGATCGTGAGTCATATGTAGCTTCGGGGTTCTCATCACAAGCTATCACTTCTGGAGCCATCCAGTATGGGGTCCCTATGAACGTATTTCTTCGTCCAACCGTTTTGTCAAGTTGAGCAGAAACGCCGAAGTCCACTAGCTTCACCTCTGCACTATTAGTCAAAAGGACATTCTGTCCTTTAATATCTCGATGAATAACCTTATTCTGATGCAGATGATAAAGGCCCCTGAGGATTTCCCTGCATATATAAGCGATCCAGTCTTCTTTAATAGAAGATGCTTTGCTGCTCTTCACAAGGTCTGTGACAGATCCACTTCCACAGAACTCCATGACCAGCCATAACTGATCGTGTTTGCCCGTTGACGAAGGAAGTTTCTTTATAAAAGCACCGTAGTACGTGGCAATGTTGCGATGGTAAGAGTATTTTCTTAACATATTTATCTCTAGCTTGATTTCTTCTTCTTCATCTTCGTTAATGTTCATTATTTTGATAGCAGCTAGCTGTGATGTTTTGACATGACGACCCTTGTATACCTGGCCATAAGTTCCATTCCCGACAACCTCAATTAGTTCGAAAATTCCGGCAGGATCCTTCAGCATGTTTAGGTCGATCTCGTCAAGAGCTCCGCCTGGGTTGTGACCCATGGTAACGGATGGATTAACACCGTCGTTCGAACGAGACGGCACCTCAAACTTGGGTAATTAAACATTAAATTAATGAGAGAAGCCCCAGCTACAATGAATGAATAAAGTAGTCTTTTTGTTTCAGTAATAAAAAGCGATCAAGTAAACGCACTTGGTAGAACAGTTGTGGCCGGTCGGGAAGTTTCCGCAAGAGTCTCATCATCTTCTGGAAGTCCATATTGAAACCGTGTTCCCTTACCCATGATTGCACTGAATTTCGGTATTTCAGAGAAGTGCGTAGTTTCAGAAAACGCTTACTTACCTACTGGACCATAGCTAGGTGGTGCACCTTGCACTGTAGTGAAGTGTAGGGCTTCAGCTTGTTCATCCGGTCCCGATAACAGGGTAGAGAAATCGGGTACGAAATCGGGCAATTTTTCGGGAAACTAAACTGACACTGTTTATCAGGACAGCACCAACACCATAACACTACATAAGACAATTCATACCCTATTAAGAATCAAGCAAAAGTCGTCATCCTTTTTTTCAGCGGATATACAACCAAATTTTGATTCATTGATCAACACCATGGCGACAGATTCCTAAATTAAGACTTCTATACTCGGTCTAAAAGATTACTGAGCTATATTTCTCATGCTATTCATTTTGGCGAAGTGTTAATGGCAATTCTGCGTGCGCATTTGTAAACGTTGCAGTAAATCTCATGCATACTGCAACCCATTCCGTAGTTTTCAAATCCTATATCGTTGAATTCGCTGTCAATTTTGTATTTGTGAACCCTATTTTGTAGACTTTGGTATTCGTAAAGTTTGTAATCAGTTTCGTAAAAACAAACGCCAATCTTTTCTATGTGCATTTATCCCAATTGTAAATTCAAGGATTCGAACAACTTCATTCAGAAAGTGACTGCTATTATGACCAATCAATGATGGCCTCTCGACCCAAGCAGTGCATGATGTAACACGTCATCTTCCTGAAGAACACATTGCGATCTCCGCAGATTCCCATGTTCGCCCCATAATCTGTTAGCTCCTGGGAACCGACTAGCTTTGGGGTCTTAAACATCACACATAGTCATTCTCATTTTGCTAGAAACGCTGGATATCTGCCCCGTGATAAATCTTCAGTTTGGGATGCATACTCATGACTGTCCTTTTGCTACATAGCCATGAATTTATGAGTTGACAGCTGTCGCTGGCTACCTGTCGTACCCTTGTTCATCTACCATTATTAGCAAGTCGGCAGGAGAATTGTGCCGCCAATACATTCAGTTGTATAAAGAAGTTCATACCGTTTCTAGTAGAGCTGGACCCATTGTACCGAGCAAGTCCTCGCTTCCCTGCTCTTCTGTTCGCACGAATTCATGCTCATCGCCATCTGGAGAGCGATTCGCTGACCCATGTTTATCTAAACCAATGCTCTTATGTAAAAACCGCAAGCATACAATTAGCAGAAAGAGATTTCATAACGAGAAATGACCCCTATAAACGGGGAATTGTTTTCATCAGAGTAGAATTTACTGGATAGATGAATTTAAAGGCACAGTTCACGATAAAAATGGTTCCTGAGATTTTCCCATAGTATGAATCCAGGCTCCTCCTTATACCTTACCTGCCGTTATAGGATCGAAAAACGTCCTGGATAGGAAACAATAAAGGGCCACAGATTGTATCGTGTGAATGCCACACTCATAGTGGACGTTGTAGATCGCACTATCGCAAGGAACTTCCATGAAAGAAGTTAAAACAAGTTGTCATAACCTGTGGCGACAGCGAAAGGCAGGTTCAGACAGTTTTTGCTTAATATAGTCAGCTCTCTGCGCAGATGGTGCAAGTGAAATCTCGTCCAAACACTTTTCACATGCCATTCTTGTCATGGTGATCTCGTACAACCCCTATATCCACTACTTTTGAAAAGCTTTCTTTCTCGGTAAGAAGATTTTTTCACTTTTCTCGCCACCGATGTCCGCCCTACATCGACGCTTCCATTTTTCAACTTAAAAAAAGGTACCCCAAAATTATCGTGAACTTGCCTTTGAAAAAAGCGCAATGTTCAAGTCAAACAATGAGTAAATGAGACAGAACAGAACGAGCTTCACCAGTCGAAGTTTGTAGTAACCGAAAGTACCAATTGATTGACCAACCCTTGGTTACAATTGTTGCCCATTGCGGCCAGCTTTCATAACAAAAACCACATCGTCAAGTGTCGCCCTATTCCCTGACTATTTGCCCTTATATCAAGAAAGGATGGGGAAGGGAGAGCAAAGTCAGAGTATTGCCAGTAATTCAATTTTTTTCGATTATCTAATAAATTATAGTTCAAAGCCGGAAACCGACCTGATCGAGTAGGAGACGTTGTGATGAACTGAACACCGTTAACAGGTATGTTTACCATATTAGCCGAGCGAACGAACCCGATAACCTCGATGCATTCAGGATTATCTCGTCCAGCTGATGGATGCAGCTGCAGTTAACACTTTTTTTACCGAAAAAGATGTTGACAACACCAAGCTTACCGATACTGATGCGGTCAAATTGCCGACATGAATTGTGGTACAATCAGGTTCCAGAAGCGACTTCATGAGTTCACCAACAAGAATACTCACATCGTTATAGTCGGAGTATCGAAGTACCCATTGCTTTGCGTTAGAATTAGATAGCTGGAAATATGCCTAATCCGTAAATACATTCAGAGAACCTATACATTTACACATGATGAAAAATCAAGTTGTTGCATGAAACTAAAAAGCATCAGTGTAAGCCTAAAATTTCATATTTCAATTTCACCTCTTTCATAGTTTCCTTATAAAGACATTACACATCTCGATGCGCATAATATCCTTACTACTAGGCGGAGTAATTACAATAGCAATGCCGGGCTCTGAGACCGCGACTGCACAACTTTCTTCACATCCAGCTTTATTCAGGGCGGGTATGTGTACGAACGTGCGTCCGAGGATGCGCGCGGCAAATTGCGCGGCGAAGATCGTAACTATTTGAACGACTATGGCGCCTATCATTGGGGGCCCAAACTTGGAATAGAGTGGATTAGGACGATCATCTAACCCTACTAAACTACACTACCTCGGGTTTGTGCCTCGAAAGTTGGCGCGGCAGTCGTACAAATCGTCACGAACTTGGCCGCGCAATTTGCCGCGCGCACCCTCGGACGCACGTTCGTACCGTCCCCCATTGAGGGCAATACTTAATACAACCCTCTACAACTGTCCCAGCAATTTGCAAGACTATGGATACATTCCCATCAGAACTCAGGCGTCTTCGATGCGAAGAATGAGCTTCGGTCGGGGTAGAATAAGGAAGCCAAGCCCGGGAATTGTTGTCTCGATTTCTTTCGCAACATGTGCGTGTGGGCGTTTTCGTGAAGCATGAAAACATCATCTACAAGACATCGCATTTATTCGAGTTTCATAGCGTCTCCATGCAGCTGTAAACAGTAGGTGCATGTGTCAAAGGTGATGCTGTCATGGTGTAATCAAGAAGATCGTAGTGATGCAGGTCTCGTACACTCCCACCAAACACAGCGAACATTACCGTTCTCGGATAGAGACCTCTTGGAACTGCAATTGCTGTAGGTGGCATCCATGTGCGGCTTACGTAGACCCCTTCGCCTGGTGTCTTAGATAGAACTCGTGAAGAAGACGCTGTCAAACTCAAGACTGTCGAACATTAGTCGGAGAGGTCGGCATTATTGCATCACAGAGACGATCAAATCGCGGGGTATGAAACTCTGCTGAGGTTACTCCAACCCACTTTAGCCTGAACAATATAAACGTTCCTCGAAATAATTGGCGTCTTTATGCGAAATAATTGGCATTGGCGAAAAAAGCAGACACTACTAATTCCTCAATCCAATGAACTAGGTTGTACGAAAAGTTTCCGTTGATTCTGGAAGTCGACTGTAAGCAAAAATTTCTCAGAACCAGCTGCAATTAAACAATTTATATTCCATTTGGCTCAACTGTGGTCCGCCTTTTTTCGGAAGATTCATTCTTCCATCCAACGAAGGTTATAGACTTGAAATCAAGAAAATGTTCTATGCTTTTTGGCAGTCCTCTAGAGAACCAAGCAATATTCCACAGAACGACTTCTACAAAAATATGAACAATTGATAGCCTGATTGTGATATCTACAGGTGCAATGCCCTATCAGGGCACATGATGCATAGTTGTTTCCTAAGCCTTGAGGAGACAGCCTAGAGACGATGGAGGAGTCATTCTTGAAGTTCGGCAGTGGGCGGAAACGGTCTGTAGTGATAAAGAGGAATCATGATGTTAATCAAAACGAATGCGCGCAAAACTACTTGTGAAGTGGCGGTCAGGCTCATGTGTCCAATTCGACTATCCACAATTGTTTGGTGGAATATAGTTTTGTTAATGGCCTAAATGTTCGGGTAAATTGAGCTAATGCAGCATTATCTATTGTGAGTACCTATTTACTGTTTCCGCACAGCAGCAGTACCTTTTCTGGAAGATACGGTACTAGGCTGGACAATTTGACGGCAGCAGTAAAACAGAAGCGCCCAGAGGTAGCCAAACTTTGTAATGCATCAGGACAATGCGACCGCACATATCTCTAACGAGTCATCAGAGTTTACTGGGAAACGGACTATACTTCTTACTGCATACCTCACTCTGTATATATCACAATCAGACTATCAATTGTTCATATTTTTGTAGAAGTCGTTCTGTGGAATATTGCTTGGTTCTCTAGAGGACTGCCAAAAAGCATAGAACATTTTCTTGATTTCAAGTCTAGAACCTTCGTTAAATGGAAGAATGGATTTTTCGAAAAAAGGCGAACCACAGTTGGGACGAATGAAAGAGTGATTGGAGGCTATAGAAGGTGGGTAAGTGGACTTACGTGCGTCCGAGGATGCGCGCGGCCAATTGCGAGGCCAAGATCGTGACGATTTGAACGACTTTAGCGCCTATTATTGGTGCCCAAATTTGAAGTAGAGTAGATTATAAGAATCATCTGACCCTACTGAACTATTCTACTTCGAGTTCATGCCCCGAAAATTGGCGTCAGAGTCGTACAAATCGTCACAACTTCGCAGCGTAAGTTGCACATCACATCTTCGGACGCACTTAAGTCCCTTCCTCCATAGAAGGTCTGTGGTTGAAACTGTAGAGTAGCGTGGTTTGCATCAAAGCGGGTGGGGCTAAGATCAAAAATTCATAGCTCTGTCCGAAAATTTACCAGAACGGAAGTAGTTGGAAGTAAGGGAGGAAATGTTTCAAATAAATGACCCTACTGGAGTTTGCACAGGGGTGAGCGGGGCTAAGATCGAAAATTCATAACTATGATTGATAACGTTTTAGAACGCTGCCAAAATGGTTATTGACGGCTAAAAGGAGGTTGGCCGAATTTCCATAGTGGGGCCTGCACTGGTGGACGTTTCCGTGTCCACCACTAATTCTGCATAAATAAAACATATCGAGCGGGACGCTCTCAAAGCGGTTCCGAGTTTAATCAAAAATAAACTATATTATTTTGATAATCCACTATTGCGCTTAACGACCCATTGTAGATGAGCTGTCGTGGGCACATAATGCATGCGGTAGCGTGAATAGCCCAATTGATTCTTCATGAGAGAATATTATCTGAACTAAAAAAGAATACTAGGACTAGAAAGTAACCGCAAACCTTGTCGCTATTTGACGTGGTTGATAACTCATTCAATTCAGATAGTTGATCACTGTTCGTTGGTAGCAGATCAACAATTATTGTAAACATCATGCCTCGCGGGTACGATGTAATATCAGCCTGAACAAGTTCTCTAAAGTTGTAGGGACAGCTTTATGATCCACGCACCTTAAAAGTAGCCGCATCGGTTATAAGCACCACGGCATCTTCCCGTTTCATTCTAGGTCGTATTGTATCGAAAAGACGTCCGAGGTGAAGGGATCCCCTAGTTGAACTGAAAAAGAAGAAAGCAAGCATTTGGAAGCAAAGCTCGGTACCTTCGAAGCATAGACATATCTCTTCAACTTGCTTCTTTTTATGGAAGATCAGAAAAAAATAAAGGAACTTACGCAATCGCTTTCTCAACAGCCGCGACAATTTCACTATTTACCACTGTTGACTGAACGCAGACAGTGTTTCCCCAATACTGAAATCGGAAAAATAATGGGGTCACTTCGAAAGGCATGCTGAGCTGCCTTGTGTGTTGAATCAAGAGATGACGAAACCACGATGGTAAATAGGTACTGATCGATACAGTTGAGGTCAGGTAAGTTGCTGTAATCCATAGTCCACAGGATAGACTGCGAATTCTAACTATTGTTTGCTTGATAAAGTAGATATTGTGGTTAAAAGAATGTTAACGAAAAAGTATATCAGTTTATGAACTTTTTCCCGTGCCTTGTACTCAAATTACTCCAAGAATAAAAGATGAAAGTTTCAATTACCACTTCGACTTTGAGCTCCTTGTTCCGGTTGGCTATGCACCGCAGTATTTCAGCCAGAATTTGCAAGTATAGCGAATTCCTGTTTCTTTTTCCCTCGTTCTGCGCGGCGGCAACCGCACTCACTTGATGGCCATCTAGCACAATAAATACTACCATCCTGAATATACAATTGGATGAATATGCAAACGATTTCAGAAAGGTATACATGAAGGAAACACGCGATAGCATGAAACCGAATAGTAAGTAGACAAGAAACAAAGTTGAATCCTGCCCGAGTTTCATGACCTTTGAGAATCTGTGACAAGAGTAGTCTGTTGCTCAAAAGGAACAGGTGCATTTGGCATACACTAAAAAGTTCTTTCAGGGCACTTCAAAGTCATTTTAACTTCACATTTGATCGGATTGCTTCATATAAATGAACATCCTCTACCTAATCACGATAGCGCTTACTGCTTCATATGGCACTGCTGAAGCCACACTGCAATAGCTGCGGATATGTCAACGGAGGGTCCTGCTCTATTCCCGGTAAGATGACACCACACGGAAATCACAACGAAGAGAGTACCCAACTTCTATGGAAAAGTTTCAGTGTACAAGGACCTTGCAGGTCAAGTCCTCCGTAGAAAGAAGTAGAGGGTATTCGTAGGGATTCAGAATATATCGGATTAATTGCAGCACATTTCTGCTTCACCACTGGGGCACGGACCTTACGTGCGTGCGTGGATGCGCGCGGCAATTTGCGCGACTCTTGCACCTAATACTGGGGCCCAAACTTCAAGTAGATTCGTTTAGTAGGGTCAGCCAATCCTACTGATCTACTTTACTTCGAATTTGGGCCTCAATGATAGGCGCTGAAGTCGTTCAAATCGCCACGAACTTCGCCGCGCAATTCGTAGCGCGCAGCCTCGGACGCACGTTTGTACCCACACCCACACCACCAACCGCCATGACCTATACTACGTCTGCAGTGATGAACATTGCTTTTAGAATCTCATATTCCCTAAACGAAAACTGGGAACTATAGCCTTGAGGAGCAGAGCTCCCTCCGGATACTGCCATGTGAAGATGAATAATGATGTCATAGAAATCTAAATAAGCTTGTAATGGTTACTGTATCATCTCCGGTATAGTACAACGTCAACACGTCTTACTTGCAACTTATAACAAAAAAAAGAATCTCGCTTTTATACCGCATGAATGTAAAAAAAAATACTTATCACAATCACACCCGTATAGGTTGAAAATTCAACCGCACGAAATTAACCTAGAAACGGCAAAGGCACATGTGAAACAGTATACTGTTAGAGCTGCTCGTATACCAATACAATCATCACAAAAAGGGGTTTAGATCATCATTGAGTTAATATTAACAATAAGCATGATGATAGAAGTTTTACACGGGCTAAAATAAATAAAATCGAACAAACTGCCTTCGCGTAATACATCACGAGCATTGATCACTACCGCGTAAAAAGGTACTGCCCGATGTATCCAGATATAGCAACAAAGGCACAACTGTGGCTAAAGCTTAGCCCATTAGGCGGTACTATTCTCTCACAAAAAATTGCTAGCAGAAAAAAACATTGCTAGTGGCTAGTAATGGCTAGTAAAGCTACACAGTGGTAGAGTCAAGACGAGTATTGGTAAAATAAATAATAAAAATATTTTTACTTGTACTTAACAATCACAGTGAAGGAAAAACAGCAAAGGCAGAAAGGTAGTGAAGTCTACCCCTCTACTTTCTCATAATTGCAACTCATTTGCAACAAAATGAAATACGAACATGAACTCTTCACGAAATGAAGTTCAGCTCCATGACCATCCCACAAATATTTCACTTTTTTGAAAGAGCAAGATATTTGTATTAAAAAGCATTGCAGTGTCTGCTGAGCAAAAAAGCTTCAAACGACGGATGGACGCCTATTACTGAATACGTAACTGGACCTGCGAAATCGTACCCTTCTCATTCTGTTTACAACACATTTAGAAACTCTACGCATAGCCAACAGAACGAAACGAAGACAAGCTTGTTGAGTCGCTCGAGTTCAACATCATGTAGCTCCATATGGACCTGTTGCGCCTCATTCCGGTTGATATGTCCTCCTTCAAGATAACAAGCGCAAACGCAGCGACAAGAACAACCATTGCTCCCATAAGCAGCCAAAGAGAAAGCGATGATGGCAATGAATTGTCATGGGGATGCCTGAAAAACAACCATAAAAAATGGAATAAATTTTGAAAAATAGTCGCTTACTTGTTTGTAACTAAATTGCTTTCACTGTTCCGCAGTGGGAAATAGCGCATATGATAGATCATCGCACCAAGTGCCCACTGCACTTCCTGACCAGCGATATGAAACGCGGTCTGAAACGTGAGAACGCTTTACTACACTCGTGTCCCGCTACAAACGAATCATTGTTAGAAAAAGACCGTCTTTTCGTCATAGATACGAGACTCAAACACAGCCCTACAATGTAGCATAGACACATAGTGGGGATGGAGAGTGAATAATTTTCACAACCGCAATAAAAAGGCAAGAAGAATTCTGGTCTCTTTACATTGATTGATGATCATTTATGTGACTTGCGGTGAAATTTAGCGCTCTCAAGCGCGTATTTTTCCCATTTCAAACACTTGAACGGACGTCAAATGCAGCGTGACTCATCGAACTGTGAATTGACAGCGGCTCGACGGCTATCGGCAACGTTTTGAATCGAAGCTGGTGTTGCTACGACGAATGAAAACATTATGTAGAGTTTAGTTGATCTCATTTCGACATAAACTGAAGGCGTTCGATGACGATACATGTCGAGAAATGACCTATTCTATTTGCTACAGGACCATTCGTTCACCCTGTTCCTTGAAGCATTTCGAGCTGATTCAGGTTAGTCTCTAGGACGTGACAAGCACTCCCAGGCCAACCTATTCGAACTGCTCCAGGATTAGAATACTGGACCGGTACTCGCCTAGGGAAACCGAGCCGGTTGCCCCTCCTCCGTCGGTTAATTGATAAGANACTGATCTGCGAAGATAAAGGCAGTGACTCACATATCAGCTGGCCACTGCAAGTCATTGCATAGGCCATACCCACATTCAAGCCGCTACTACGATTCTGAATGGGATTCGAATGTTGGAGCACATTTCCAACACAGAAATGATCAACGTGAGAAAAGAATTTATCCTCCATTTTTACGCAAAACTTCAGATTGACAGGACAAGCATGCCTATCGATACTGTGTAGTGTGTTGGTAGTTCTAAAGTCAAACACATGACGCGTATCCCGAAGTGTCCAGTCGAAAGCGCAGGTCAGTGGTTGAAGAGCAAAAAATACGGATTCACGAAAAGTTCACCAAACTTTGACAGAAAAATTGCCGGGTCGGATCGATTTCGTCTCTCGAACTATCCTGATCAAGTCGCCTTCGGTTTCTTGTCGAGGCTGAGATCATCTGGTCCGCACCACAACCCGTGAGATATTTGGGTGCTGTCATGCCTTGGATCCCAACGTTCAAGGCGGATTGAACAGTTTTCGCTTATAACAATATGTGGGCTTATAACAATATGTGGGCCTAAAGGCTCTGCTTAAACTGCTCTGAATTTCGGAATGGTGTTCGAGTTGGGCTCCATTCACGTAACCTTGGATTTCGGATGTGATGAATGCAACAGTGGCTTAATTTTAACTGAAGGAGCTGTCTTTTTCATATGGCTTTACAATCAGGTTTAGATTTAATTGGGAACTACTAAAAAAGAGTTCCTGCATTTTCGATACTAATTTCTTCTGACGACGGTCTTCAGAAGCAGTCTTTCTAGTAGTTCAAAAATTATGAATAGAAAGAGTGGAAACAAAATCTTCAAAAATGGGCAAAGGCAGCAAAAAACAAGCTCTGGCCGTTCAAAGGCGGTTAAAAAAATGAACTTAGGCTTCAGCGTTCATCGATGTGGGGAAAAGTGATAATCCAATGAAATACGGAAGGAATTAAATATCTCGCGAGAAAGGGTATAAAATTGGCTAAAATGAAACGTGAGGGAAAAATGAAGCAAACCTGAAAATTGTTATGTTCCTTATCAACATCGAAGCCCTCGTGTAATATTGCTGCTATCCAAGCAGATTTAAAGCATTGACTTTTTAATCGGTCATCATTCGATTTCGGATATAACTTTCGCTTTGCAGCACCCTAAACAGACGCTCATAAGAAAAAGAAAAAGAAAACAGCGAGTAAAGAAGGGAAAGGCAGAAACGAAACCACCCAAGAAATGACCGCGTGCATTAATGTCCTGAGGCTTTTACTCCACCAAGACGTTTATGAGTACGAACGTAAAGTTAAAAAAAAGTTCTATAACTCATCACTCTCATTTCAATCACCAGTTTGTGTATTTTCAAGGGTTCCACTTACCTGCCATTGTTACAGCTCGCTCTATTCTATCGCATGAACAACTATTACAAACGATCCAGTGAACAAATGAACAGCGAACCTGTATGGCAGACCATCGTTGCGAGCAAAACTGTTTCGATTTCTCAGCTATCAGTGTGTAATTGTAGCGACCACCGAGTGACAGTACTTCATCAAGAGAATACCAGTATTCGGAAAATCCATACAAAGCCATAGATGAAAGAGATACCTAAAAACCCATCATAGAGCAATGCAATTTACAAGGGAAATGCTATACCATTGGCGCGGCGACACTTCCGAAGAAGCAGTTTGGTTTACAAAGAGATTTTGGATGTACAAATGGTTTCGTGATCATATTTGAAAGCTTCTCAACGCATCCTTCCCAATCGCCAATTCCCTAGAAAATAGTTGTGGACTTTTCATTGTATTCAACTGTAAATGAAAACAAATCTGGGCTGGAATAGATCGATACCTTTCGTACGAACATAGAACCGTCGCTTCGATTGATGACCTTCTGCAAATTGACTGGCATACATTCATCTCTGACGTAGCTTTCTTTAGTCGATAAAAGTTGATCGCTGAGTTGTTGCTCATATTTACGAAGACCTTAACTGTCAAATTTGTCACTACTATTATAATCTGTTAGACATAGACAAAACGTTATAATTTTGTATAATAAACAAACAAAGAACAGTATTCTACCTTCATTAACGCCGTAGCCTAGGAATGTTGTGACAAAGAGTTTGTACTTATGTCTGTCGTCGTCGTCACGGCACCCAAGGTTAACCTTAAAAAATATCGTCATTTTTTCACACGATAACTTCGATTATTTTCAATGTTACAGTACAGTGTTAGTGTTGCGAGGAGTCAAGTGAAATGATCATCCGTACATAGAACATGTGCATAGGCTGAAGAAGAAATTTTAAATTCTTAACATCTGGGTCTGAGAGGACAAAAGCCCGAAAAGAATGTCGTTTGATTAAAAAAGCCATACTGTTGACAACATACATATCCAAAATGTCACTACGATTTTGAAGGGAAGTAGAATGAGGAGTGCATCACAAAAACGGGACTGTTTAACGCCTTTCCATTTATCCAGGAAGCTGCCCACATTACATTATTCACCCCAGTCGCTTCGACTTGTGATGCTTGGAGCTTGTAGTTTTACATGGCCAGCAGACTGCGTACCAGCCATGTTTTGCCGAAAAACTGGAAAAAGGATTACTGAGCAGCCACTGAATCGTTTGACATTTGCCTCGCTCATTGTTGATTCGCAAACTGTTTACAAACTATGCATTCCCATTTTTTACATGAACATGAACCATCGGCAAGCCAGATCAAAAGTGCGCAGTGCAGGGTCTTCACTTCAAATGACGGGCACTCCTGCATTCAGAATATAAAAATAAACATTAACGTTAAGAAACGTAAAAAATACATTTTCCACATTTTCGCTGCGAAAATCGTCCTTTGGAGGCATTTCGAATGCAATCTGCATACTTGCACCACCCATGTCTATCATTCCCACGGTGTCTGGTCGAGAAGTTATTGAGCCGTTGTTTATTTTAAATTTTCCTGAATGTAAAAGTTTAGCTTAGTAGGACATCTAAGGCGCGAGAAACAACGTGACTTTTTAAATATGAATGAATTACATATGAAAACATTTTATCTCTTACCTAAAATATAGTTTACCGCGATCCAGCTATAGATGCCTTCCCATTTGCCCTCAATTACTTTTATGTGTTCCTTCATGATCTGAAGAAGGTTCGTTAAACCATAGCTCCGCTAAAAATACTAACCATGATGATAATAAGAAAAACGCATTATCGCATGAGTTAGAACAATCAAGCGTATAAAATCGCCAAGAACCATATATCTAGTCTCCAGGGTGAAGTGTGAGTGTGGAGAAGGGAGGGGGATTGAAAGAAATGCAGATATGAGTATGGTAAAAGTTCAGATTCCGGGCATAAAAAAATTGAGGATAGAAATGCAAGTGAACCAATACAGCAGTTTAATGTGTGACATCTACGTTTTTTTTTGCCTTATATTTCTTTAGTTCACTTTCAATCCCTAGTAGAGAAGTAAGGTTCGGCTGGCCTGCGAGCATCGATCCACCGCCCGATTCTCCTATGTGTGTAATAGCGCGCCTTTGCCATACCCACCTACGAATAAATTGGACCATATTTACCGATAATGTCGTTCTTTTAAAGTTTAGGGCGGAGAACACATTCGTCAAGGTTGGATTATGTGGTCAAAAAAAGGCACTGGCAGGAAATACAAAACTTGCAAACTTTTGAGGAATACTTAATAAAGGACAAACAACTCTGATAACTGTTGAATTGAATATATTCAGGAAGGAAGATTTCAATACCTGCATGGGAGTCATTAGAGGCAATTTAGTGTGCAGATCGGCAAGAATTGCAGCTTGTTGCCTGAAGAGCCGCTGTTTACATACAAAGCACAACGATACAAACAGAAAAACAAATGTTTGTAGGCTTTCCCGTGATCATAAAGATGGCCCTTCAAATTAATGAACTAACATAAAAACCATGTGTCGAATATGCCGAGCCCTCATTTGAAAAATAAACAATTGCCGTTCGGAAATGACAGGAATAAGAAAAAAGAGAAGAGAAAAAGGGAGAGAAATAAGAAAATTCACATGCTGGTAGAATTCAATACCTTTAGGTGAGTCTTCATGAAGATACATAAAATAAGGCATTTGTAGAGGGTGGAAATCGTGATAACGTCTACATTAACTACAAAAATTCATGCCCTCTATCCTATGCAAAATTGCTCCCCTGTCTGACCTAAATTCAATCATTTACTCAGAAGCTCATAAAAAAAATGAGCAGAAAAAGCCTTTTCCCACCAGAACGATCACCTTCCCAAAGAAATGACCAAAAAGTAGGAATAGACCTCATATCGTCAACCAGGAATTCAGAAATTTCCTACTTTTTGAGTATAGTAAAACATATTTTAATGGCGAAACCCACTTCTCGGGAACAAGTCGCATCCCAGCCGTTGCCAGAAGAAACACAGGCGTGTATGGCAACTTATCGTGAGGTATGAATTGTGATGCATAATCCAGCAACGGTCTTATATACTCTAAAATAAATTTCAAATCATGTTATGATAGCAGGTGAAAGACTATGGCAGCTAATTTCTCGGCTTATACCTGCAGCCTTTTCGGGACGATCTTGAAATGAACTTAGTCCTGGGTACACTTTCTTCACGACATGATTGTTCAAGTGGTCGAGCGCAGGAACAATATCTATTAGTTCCTTGTCTGAAAGGAAAAAGACATCAATCATTTCCAAAAAGCTGCAAATTGAGCCATACTGTTTGTCCCCGCCACTGAGAGAAAATCGTACTAGACCTTGAAAGTTATTTATACCTGAACTACTCGTCCAAGAGTACAAAAAAAGTCGAGTGCCTGTGGAACCTGCATCCATGATGACGCCGTACGACTTCTCATCCGCCTCATCTATATTTTGCATGTTTAATAGTACCACAAACTACTGCAAACAAAGGGTCTGATTTGCCATCAGAAAATCAATACTACTAGAGAGAAATCCACATCGATGAAACTCCGGTGATGGAGCATGAAAAGATCTTCAGCAGTTCGCTCGCTCATTTGTGAGGTTAGGATCATCACCAATAATCACAAGTCACAGTCACAATCCTCACAGCAACTGAACAAGCGAAATGCTAAGCAACTTTTCATGCTCCATTGCTCCATCACCAGAGTCACGACAAAACGCAGAACAGAAATTAAAAAATTATCCGACGAAACGGCACACCAGAATTGATGCGAACCTTCGTGAAGAAATCATTAAAAGTACAAACCTGTGAATGTGTTTTGGCTATTCATATAGTTGCTAATTGTGCTGCCATGATCAGAATGATTGTAGATTAGATACAAAGGGATGCAAATGATGAGAACGGCAACAACGCACAAGGCGCGCGACGTCATGCGAACCATCAAACAACCTCAATTCGAAGATGTCGCTCAGGCCATACCCAATGCCTGCAACAGCAAACAATTTGTAAACGCCTGCCTGCAACCTATAAACGATGTTCAGAAGTTTCCAACGAACACAATGGATTCTAGAGAAGAAGCCAGAGTTAAAGGAAAGGCAGTGTAGTCGGGAGATAGACGCACTTCGCGCACGTGCCGGCGCTCTTTCGGCGAATAGTATTCTATTCGTCAGTCGCTCTTCCATTCCACATTTTTGCGGGTCAACATCTTTACCATCCTGAAGATTCTCCCCTCTCCAAATTGGGCGAAAAACTCCTTCCTTGGCTGAGGATCGGCTCTGCATTACTACATTCCCATCATTGGCGCCCCATCCTTTCCTGTGCTCTAGCAATTAGCATTAGGGACCCATCAGAATTTCTGATCCCGAATATGCACATTTTAAATTGAATTACATGACAGATTGCATTAATTGCGTTCACAGTACGCGCATTTCAATAAGGAGGAGGCGGTTGGCATGGCTAAATGTGGCATTGGCTAAATGCTAGACGGCGACGTTGGCGTCAAATGGTCGATCGGTATTTCACAGGTCGATAACTGACTTTTTATGGTTTAAAATTTATCAATAAAATGTCTGTTTGCCTCGCCGCGGAGCACAAAAAGGCGCAGGCACCCCCAACTACACTGCCACCCGTTTTTTGCACATTAGTTTCCATAAAACTGTTTGCCGAAAGTGCAGTTCAATAAATTTGTTCTCCCTAGATTGTTCATTGGTTTAATTAGCTATTGCCCACGAACCCAGAGGACTACATTCGAGTGAAGGGGCGAGGATGACAGTGTGGGACCTTAGCACTGATGTAGGAAGGCCAGTTTGACTTTGTGACCAGGATCTCCTAAGACCTTCGACCCAAATAAGCAGAAAACGTTAGCAAGGGTGGTGTATGCGTGAAAAGATGAGAGGTATATCTGCGACCCATTGCCAACCTGAATCCGGGTCTGCCCCCGGGCTTCCCTTCCACCTTTCACAACGCCTTCCCATCATCTGCAGCATGAAACAGGTTCCTTCAATTCGAAGACGGTTAATTACAATAAATCAATCCTAGAAACTCAAGATCATATAAATGTGGAGTCAAACTCCATAAAAATTGAATGAATGCTAATTAACTAAGCCAACATTATGATCTACTTCAGCAAGTGCCGTGAAATAGGCAGGCGATATTGAGAAACGACCTGGGAAATTAGGCTTTATCCGGATTTAATTTGGAAGTACCACTTGCCGGAAAAAGCATTTAAACCTTCTAATATCTGGAAAAGAAAACAAACAGATGGAATGGAAATAATTTTCTACAACTGTGTCTACAACAATCCCATAGCAATCATTATTTGGCTTATACAGCGTCGTGAACGGGACAGTCAAAGTTTGTAAGCACTTGATCTATGAGAAGAGATGTCACACAATCCGCTTCAATCAGGGAAAATCCATAAGCAATGGAAAGCCGAAAAAGCCTCTCCCGTCCGTTTCCACTCTCAACTAAGTTTGACGAGAACACAAACCAAAGAAGATTCAAATTTTACAAGTACAGCTTCATTACATTCAAGAAATGTTGACCAGGAAATCGCAGAAACTCGAGGGGACACCTGAATCCAAATTAGTGTATCCCGTCGAGTGCTTGCGTGGATTCCATCGTAATCACCGTGCCTGCGAATCTAAGGGAGGTTATTGTACATTTATATGGACAGGCAGTACTCCAGCGCGTGTCGCGTGCGCGGTTTGAAGGGACGTCGCCCGTGGGCGATGGGGTTGATTGGAGCGCGTAATGTGCAAGCAGATCTGAAGCAGATGAATAGCAAGATGGTATTGGTTTGTTTCGTTAGATCTTATTTTCTTTTTTAAACCTCTACTGATCCTTAACATAAAAACATGATAACAGCAAGGTAAAAGTGCAAAAGGTAACGAAGGGCCCTATCGATTCGAAGGAAGTGGGCAAATACGGCAACTGTAGTTTGAAATCGCGAGACAACAAAAAAGTTTTGCCGCATGTGGGCCAGTGATCTACAGGAGATGGGGGAATGTTCCGCCACTCGTCACCTGCTCAGCACTCAAAAGTGGCCAATTCGTTTCCCATTGAGCGGCTCTTACATTTCGGATTCAAACAAAGTGTTCCATTAACTGACTTATATCCCATACCCATCATCGGCGTTCCCAGTTTACGTCTGCAAACAATTTTTTAATGTATGAAAGAGATAATCTCTAATATTTCATCAATGCTTCCTCACCATTCTCAAACCGATCACGTTCTCTGCTCGTCCATCAAACTCCATGAAGGGCGCTATTGTGCATGCCTATGGATTCTACTCAGAAGTCTTAAAAGGTTCTTGTCGAGCGTCATTATTTTGAATGTGAAGGTTAGGTTACCAACACGAATATGAAGGTTACTTATACATGCTTTATGATGCATCATCTGAAATAATATCTAGCCAATAATCACAAGTGGACCGGTATTGAGCCCCAATTTAAGCATCCATTGACATATTTATCCTTCGAACAATAGCCTTTTGAAATCAGTTCCTTGATTTGATGGAAACATTTGAACTCAGTGCCAGAGAAAGGTAGCGCTGGATTGACTCCGGCTGGTTTTACTGAGAATCAACAGTAAATGGAAAATAGCAAAATGTGAGAGACTTGGGATCAACAGATAAGAGTTTTCTTGAGATAAGGGTTCAGCAAATGGGCCCTTTCACGAAATTGCTCAAGCATGTGCTTCATTACAAAAAGATTCGAGCTCCGTTCTTCAAGTTGCCGATATCTGAAAAGACTCGATAGCACATCCCATCATGACGTCGTGTTGAGGTTCGGAGTGTGACAGCTTTGAGCATATAATATGGCGATAACATTGATCGGGGTTCAAGAGTCTTCTTCATTGAGAACCCTTTCTCACCATGGGGTCTTTAACCTGTTGGTGGCAAGGCTGCGTTGTGCGACTCCAGGTGGGAGAAGGGGAATAAATCGCCGATGAAAGGACAGTGGTATCCTTCCAGGTGTATCCTGGTTTGAGTGTGTGACGAGCCTGCTGTATTCTGCATTCAAGCTAAGCCAAAACTTTGCATGCGATTGATGGAAAGTACTTGGGTGGCCGTTCGGAGTCGGCTTCAACAAAGAAATCTCTTGTCCACCCTGGAATACTTTGTCCAGCTATCCGGAGCCTACCCAACTCCCACCTCAGAGCCGGCATTTGAGTTCACTCTGCGCTTAAACAGTAATATATGTAAGTGAGCTTTACTTCCCTATGGAGAAGAAAGAAACAAAGTGTAAGAGTGAGTATGAAAGACGGCTCCTAAAACTGCGAACTGTAATGGAAGATGTAGAACCACACCGTCCATTATAAATCGCATTTTCAGGAGCCTATTCATTCATGATGGACTGGAGAGTACTTGTTAGGCAGTTCCATAATGAATTAGATCGAATCATCTCCACTTCGAAGTTTTGCCTAGCTGAAGCCGATTGGCAGTTCAACCAGCTCGTTCAACATCTTCACAATGGTACTAGAAAAGTAGTGAATCTGCAAGTTGCCAAGGGACGCTCTCTTCAAAGACATTCGAACTGCTACGGCAAAAGTGGAATCGCACTGCAGGCGAACAAAGCTTCGCATTGGAAGTCAAGCAGGGAAGCGATAAAGGACGATCTGAGACAGTCAAAAAGACAAGCGCAGCAATTCTGGCCGAAGCTGTCGAGACTGGGAAGAGCACTTACAATGCCCGCTTGAGTTTCACTAATCATAGGAATAAGATGACCTGTCCATGTTGCTTTGATGGAATTGCATCTCGAAGGACAATGGGGAAAGCCATTCAGAAATTCCACACGAATCTTCTCGATATATCGTCTAACTGTCTACCTCTTGGGCAGGATGGACACATCGTTTCCTCAGTTATCCCTTCAAAAATTCTACAGTCGTCGGCGCGCGCTCTCCCGCTAGGTTGAAGTAGGAGTAAGAAGAGTTCTCCACCAGTTATTGCGCGGTCCCTTGGTAGGCTCTTTACGGTAACCTATTAGAATGGGAAGTGCTCATAACGTGGAAACCTTGCAATAGTATCAGGAGGAAGACTCAGACGATATAGGCTAGTACCTAATCGTCTGCTATTTGCAATTTATAAACTTCCCACACGAGTCTTTTTTAACAGGACTCGCAAAACAGTAGATGAAGGACACCCCCTGGAGTATGGAGAATTCTGGAAAGGGTCAAAGGCACAGTCCACGATAATTGTGAGTAATCCAGGTTATGATGAAAAATGGAAGACAAGATCGAAAATAGTGCGATGAAGGTGAAGAAACTGTGTGAATTGGTGTTTCCAAAGTGAAAAAAGGCTTCGAAAGCCGTTGAAGAGGGGACTGGACGAGAGTGAGACCAGGAGAACGAAGAAGAGTGGACGTTTGGACGAGCTATACAATGTGTCTCACTGCCTACGTGTGGGTCCTGGTGCGAATAACAGACTACAGAGAGCAAAAATTCATTCACTTATAAA